GCGCTCGAGGGCGGCGGCGAGAGCGTGCGAGTGCGGCCGGGTAATCTGTCGCCGGCTGCGGCGGAGCGGGCGTCGAGCGGTGTCCTGGCAGCCCCCGATGCGGTCATCGCAGCAGCGGAGCGTGGCGAGGAGGAGGCGGTGCTGGCGTGGCTCGACAGTGGCGGGCGGGTCGACACGACGTACGAGAGAGGCGAGACTAGCGGCCTCACGCTGCTGATGGGCGCCGCCATGCACGGCCACGATCGGTTGGTCGAGCTGCTGATACGGCGCGGCGCTGACGTCAACCTGCAGGACGACGACGGCTGGACCGCGCTGATGTGGGCCGCCCGCAATGGCCACGAGCGGGTGGTCGAGCTGCTGATACGGCACGGGGCGAAGGTCAACCTGCAGAACAGCTTCGGTGGCTTCGCGCTGATGCTCGCCGCCTTCCACGGCCACGAGCGGGTGGTCGACCTACTGCTGCGGCGCGGCGCGGAGCTCAACCTGCAGAGGAGCGACGGCGTCACCGCGCTGATGGGCGCCACCTTCCACGGCCACGAGCGGTTGGTCGACTTGCTGATTCAGCACGGCGCTGAGATCAACCTGCAGAGTAGCAACGGCTTCACCGCGCTGATCGGCGCCGCCGCCTTCAACCGCCCCGCCGTCGTGCGGCGCTTGCTGCGGGCAGGCGCAGACACTGCGGCGCGCACTGCGAGCGGCAAGACGGCGCTGCAGCTGGCCAAGGGGGAGGGCCACGCCGAGTGCGTCGAGACCTTCAGGCAGCACGTCAAGGAGTCGGTGGTGGCGGGACGGCCCACGGCGACGGCAGCCGGCGGCGCAGGCGCAGGCGGCGCTTCCTCCGGCGGCGCTTCCTCGGCTGGATCGAGAGTCGCGACGACGCTATCTCCAGCGGTGGCGGCGGGGCGGGCGTCGAGCGGTGTCGTGGCAGTCTCCGATGCGGTCATCGCAGCAGCGGAGCGTGGCGAGGAGGAGGCGGTGCTGGCGTGGCTCGACAGCGGCGGGCGGGTCGACGCGACGTACGAGAGAGGCGGCGTGAGCGGCATCACGCTGCTGATCGGCGCCGCCGGCAACGGCCACGAGCACTTGATCGAGCTGCTGATACGGCGCGGGGCGAAGGTCAACGTGCAGGACAGCAAAGGCTTCACCGCGCTGATGCTCGCCGCCGTCCGCGGCCACGAGCGGTTGGTCGAGCTGCTGCTGCGGCACGGCGCTGATGTCAACCTGCAGGACAGCAAAGGCGTCACCGCGCTGATGGCCGCCGCCGTCGAAGGCCATGAGCGGGTGGTCGAGCTGTTGATTCGGCACGGCGCTGATGTCAACCTGCAGAACAGCAACGGCGTCACCGCGCTGATATACGGCGCCGGCAGCGGCCACCCCGCCGTCGTGCGGCGCTTGCTTCGGGCGGGCGCAGATGGTGCGGCGCGCACTGTTGACGGCAAGACGGCGCTGCAGGTGGCCAAGGGGCTGGGCAACGCCGAGTGCGTGCGCACCCTCGAGGAGCACTCGTCGACCGCAGCAGAGGCGGAGGGGGGGACGGCGGTCGCAGAATCAGCCGAACAGGCGGAGGCCGCACGCGAGGTGGCAGCGGCTGCGGAGGCGGCGGAGGCGCGCAATGCTGCCGAGGCGGCGCTGCGCGAGGCGGTTGAGGCGTGCGGCCGAGGCGACGCCGATCTCGAGGCGCTCAGGGCGGCGATCAACGCGAACACCCAAGCCGCCGACGGCTCGGAGGCGCTGCGGGCGGCGCGGCGGCTGCGCGACGAGCTGGCGGAGCGAAAGACCCGCGAGGCCAGGGCGCTGAAGCGGCAGCGGCAGAAGGAGGAGAAGGCGGCGGCGGCGGCAGCGCGGGCGGCGGAGCGAGCGGCGGAGGAGGCGGAGGAGGCGCGGGCCGCAGAGGAGGCGCGAGTGGCGGAGGAAGCGGATCGGGTGGTAGCAGAGGCTGCGGCGGCGCGGGCGGCGGAGGCGGCGGAGGGGGCGTCGCGCGCAAGGGAGGAGACAGAGGCGAGGGCAAGGGAGGAGGCGGCAAGGGAGAGGGAGGAGGCGAGGATGAGGGCGGAGGCGGAGGCGGCGGCGGAGGCAGCGGCGGAGGCGGCGGAGGCAGCGGCGGAGGCGGCGGCTGTAGAGGCGGCAGTGGCGGCTGTGGCGGCGGCGGAGGCTCAAGAGGCGGCGGCAGCGGAGGCGGCAGCGGAGGCAGCGGCGGCAGCGGCGGCAGCGGCGGCAGTGGAGGCGGCGGCGAGCGTCGCTGCCCTCGCCGCCGCGGCCGCGCCGCCCGCCGCCGTCCCTCTCGACGAGCTCATCGCGGCGACCGAGGGCTTTGCCGAGGCGCGCAAGGTGGGCGAGGGAGGCTTTGGGCGCGTCTACCGCTGCGACGCGCTGCCGTCGCTTCCGCGCGTCGCTTGCGGGTTCGCCGTCAAGACGGCGCTGGTCGGTGTCGGCGCCCAAGGTCTCGCCGAGCTGCAGAGCGAGGTGCGCACGCTCAGCGCGGCGTGCCACCGGTCTTTGCTTCCTCTGCTCGGCGTCTGCTTGGCACCGGCGAGAGCGTGCCTCGTCTACCCCCTCTGCCGCGGCGGCAGCCTCGAGGACCGCCTCTACCGCGCTCCAGCCGCGCTCCAGCGGCTCCACATGCTCGGCTTCGAGACGCCGCCTCCGCCGTTCTCCTCCGCCGCACGGCTCCGCGTGCTGCGCGACGCAGCGAGCGCGCTGCACTATTTGCACACGCTCTCGCCCATGATCCTGCACCGCGACGTCTCGGCGGGCAACGTCCTGCTCGACGAGCGCGGCAACGGCTACCTCGCCGACGTGGGCCTCGCGCGCGCGGCAGAGGCGACGGCCGGCAGCAGCCAGCAGGTGTCGCACCTGTCGACGCAGCGCCTCTTCGGCAAGCTTGGGTACATGGACCCGATCATTCCGCAGAGCGGGCAGGCGTCAGCGCTGACCGACGGCTATGCGTTCGGCATCACGCTGCTCGTCGCCCTGACCGGCCGCGGCGCCGTCGGCCTCCTCGACGAGTGCGACGATGCGCTTGAGGAGCCCGACACGGCGGAGAGCATCGCGGCGGCCGACGCGGGCTGGTCGGCGGCACAGGCCGAGGAGCTGATGCGGCTCGTGGTCGGGCTGGCATACGAGCGGAAGAAGAAGCGGATGCCGCTCGCAGACGCATTGCCGCGGCTGGAGGCGCTAGTCGAAGCGGCGGGGGAGGTGGAGGAGACGGCTGGGGCCGAGGAGCGCCAGTGTGACCTCTGCTACGACGCGCCGCGCTCGGTCCGCTTCGCGTGCGGCCACGCGCTGTACTGCGAGACATGTGCGCCGCGCGTGCTGGAGCGCGACAGCAACTGCCCGGCCTGCCGCCAGCCGGCGCTGCCCATCGCCGCAATTGGGCGGTTGGTGGCGGCGCAGACGACGTTTGTCCACCAGCCGCCCTTGCGCACCGTGCCCCAGGCTCAGCCCGTGGGCGCCACGGCAGCGGTCGGTAGGCGAGGGGGGAGAGGGGGGCGAGGGGGGCGTGGACGTGGCGGGCGGGGCGGGCGGGGCGCGGGGCGCGGCGGCTCTGCTTAGTGAGCTGTGTAGGGGTCCGCCCGCATGCTAAGTTACATCTGCACTTTCATGCACACACGACACACGAAATCGCGCTTCTCGGGTCCGAGGGCAGCCTCAACTGGAGTAGGGAAATTTGGATCTTGGTCAAACGCCTGCTGGGGGCAGCTTCGCGGAAGTATTCCGGAAGCCAGATGATCCCCCAGCAGGCACACACACACGGAGGTGACAGGGGATGGTGGTGGGTTCAAGCAAAGAAGGGGAGGGAGAGAGCGACGCGGCGAGCGCAGGCGGCGAGCGTGCACGTCGCCTGTGCGGCGTCTTGTTCACTCCCCTTTGAGCTACCTTTGTGCCCCCTTAGGGGCACCCCTCCTGCGCTGCGCGTATGGTCACCCCTCCCTTCCGCCCTGTTGTTTTGGATGCCCCGCTCCGAGAAAGCATGTCTCGCAGCTGCGAGAAAAGACCTTCTCGGGTCCGAGGGCAGCCTCAACTGGAGTAGGGAAATTTGGATCTTGGTCAAACGCCTGCTGGGGGCAGCTTCGCGGAAGTATTCCGGAAGCCAGATGATCCCACTTGTCAACAGCAGGCGCCAGCGCCAATCAAATCTCCCTAGTGATGTTGACAACGGGCAGTCGAGATGGGCAATCTGACCATGAGTCGTTCATCAGGGGATGAACTCCACGTAGTAGTTAATGGATTCCGATCGGCCAACCGTCTCGCGACAGTGCCACCGAAGAACAGTGGGAGGGCTTTACCGACCCGACTCGGCTGAGCCGTCGGTGCCCGCCGCCCTCGCACGCCCATAGGACGACGATGACGACAGCAGGAGCTCGGCGCGAGCCGATTTAACTCCTGCCCCATTGTTGTAAGGTGCGTATGGCTCGGAACGTGAAGCGATGTAGTAGCTCGAATTGGCGTGAACACCGGCTTGCTGCGCGGCGGGTCAACCCCATTATGCGCAGTCATCCGGAATTCACCCAATCGTTGAGCTGAGTTGCCCCGACGGTAGGATGCCGTGTCAAGGCCCAGCTGGGCGCTAGGCGCCCCGCCGCACTGGCGCAGGGCGCGACGGCAGTGGCGGCGGTTTGTGCTGACGGCGGCAGCGCTTCGGAGCGGGAGCGACGGGCCACTGTCAGGACAAATCGTCGGGCGCCAGGCAAGATGCGGGCGCGCTGCCGCCGCGGCGCGAACGAGCCCGAGCGAGGCGCGCGCCAGCGCCGCTCGCCGAGCCGCCGTCGGCGGTAGCGACCGCGCCAGAGACTGGCCGGCGAGCGAGCGCGGTCGACGAAGAGGTGAAGCGCCCGCGACAGCAGGATGAACTGGCGGGCCAAATCGTCGGGCGCCAGGCAATGCGGGCGCGCTGCCGCCGCGGCGCAGACGTCGGCGGCGAGGAGCTCGAGCGCCCCCAGCGTGTTAGCGAAGCGAAGCCAGCGTGCCATGGTTGCCGACGGCTCACCTATAGGTGTATATTATAGAGCCATCACCGAGGCTGGCTGGAATTTTAGAGCCATCACCTTGGGCTGGTCCGGTATTTGGGGGCTAGAAGGGGCCGTGTCTGTTGCAGCCACCGCACTCGGTGAGCGCAGCGAGGCGGCATGTTCGACCAGCGCGGCCACCACGGACTGCGGGGACGCGCCGTTGGCAGAGGCAGCGGCCAAGACAGCCCGCCTCGGGGCAAGCGAGGCCTCCACGCGCCGCACGGCGGTGGCAAGCGGCGTGGTTGGCGCACTCATGCGCGCGTCCGGCAGGAGCGCGGTGGCGAGGGCGAACACGAGGTCGCGCGCTTCCCCCCCCCGCCGGACGTCGCCAAGGACTGAGGACAGTAGCGGGGCGCCGGGGCGAGCAGGTAGAGGCGCTTATCCTCGACGCTGCGGCGGCCAGCGTCGCCGCGCAAGTAGGTCGCCGCATCGCGCGCCTCCTCCAGCCACTGCGGCCCCGCAACGTTGGGGGCGCAGAGCGAAGGGGGCAGCGCGCCCTCCAGCGCGAGCACGTAGTCCTTAAAATAGCTCGCCAGTAGTTGCGGGTTAGCACTCGGGGGGAGGCCGTACGCGGAGACAGCCGCTGGCGAGAAGGTAGGGCCGCGCGCGCAGCCGCCGCCGGCCTCGCCGCAGACGCCGCGGCGCTGGCTCGGCGAGGCGCCCCGCGCTGCGCATGAGCAGCATCCCCCGCCAGCGCGGCCGCGGCGGCGAGGCCCCCCACCGGGAGGAGATCGGGCTCTTTCACCTCCAGCGCCGCTGGCGACACATCGAGGCGGTCGATCGCCAGCTGTAGTGCAGCCGAAGAGGAGAAGGGGGCCGCGTCGAGGAGCCCGCACGTGAGCAGCTCGTTCAGGAAGCGAGCCCACGCGGTTCCGGTGAGAGCGAGGTCCAGCGGGCAGACCATCGGGGCGGGAGTACCGGCGGGGGGCGCCGCGAGGCGCAGCCGCCGGCCAAAGACGCGCAGCATCGCGTGGTGCGGAAGCTGCACGCGCGCTGCTCCGCTCGGCGCAGCCGCAACCGGCCCCCAGCGGAGGACGGCAGTAGCCACCACCAGCGGGTGGGCAGCGGGGCCCTGGACGGGGGCGTCGGGCCCCGCGTGAACGCAGTGCAGATCAATCGGCGGTACTGCCGCGGCCATCGCGCCCGACAGGGGCCGAGCGCGGCTCGCAGAAGCTCTCTTTATTCCCTAGTTCAAGCAAAGAAGGGGAGGGAGAGAGCGACGCGGCGAGCGCAGGCGGCGAGCGTGCACGTCGCCTGTGCGGCGTCTTGTTCACTCCCCTTTGAGCTACCTTTGTGCCCCCTTAGGGGCACCCCTCCTGCGCTGCGCGTATGGTCACCCCTCCCTTCCGCCCTGTTGTTTTGGATGCCCCGCTCCGAGAAAGCATGTCTCGCAGCTGCGAGAAAAGACCTTGACTCTGCACTCTGAAAAAAGCAGAGAGCTCGGCTGTACTTCCTGTGCGAGTGCTGTGGTCGCCGCAGACACGGGGCTTCCGACTTGACGGGCGCATGGAGACTTGAGGTCCGACCCGCTTGCCTCTAGCCGGCTCTACCGTAACGGCGTAACCATTGAGGATAATACCGCGCACCGCGGCGTTGTTCAATGTTGGGGGGCGCGGAGAGATCGAGAAACGAGATCACCATGCGGATGAGATTGCGGTACGCCTGAGAATAATTTCACAACAGGACGGAACTAAGAATTTCAGGCCTTCATTCGTGGAGCTGTCAAAAAAAATAAAATGCTCGCCAGCGACGATTGCTCAATCAACAGGCGACGATTGCTCCATCAAGAATCCAGGCCCGCTCCGCCCGCTCCGCCCGCTCCGCCCGGCCGGCGCTCTGACGCCCCGCGCATTCTGCTTGTGTAGGCGACGATTCAGGTTTGCCGGCGCATGGACTCCATCTTAGATCTGACACGCACCGAGAAGACACCCACAGCGCGCGCGACACACAGCGGCTCCCGACCCTCGACCCCAGCCCACGGGCGACTGCGACCCCAACGGCGGCGGCTGGCGTGCGCGTACCCTTGACGCTCTTCGTGCCGGGCAATGTCTGCTACGTCGGCGGAGAGGGAGCCCTCTCTCGCTGCGTGTGGGTTCTGCCTCGGCGCTCGGGTCTCTGAGCATTCTTTCTTCCGGCCTCGTCGCCTTGACGCTCGCCGACTTTATCGCCGACGCCTCCACCACCGCCGGCTTCGGCATCAAGGCGAGCGCGGAGGGGGACATTGTCATCTTGCTCCACCCATCCCCGCCCTCGCCACCGCCACCCGCCCCTCCGCCGCCCACGCCGCCGTCCCTCTACATCTTCATCATGTGCGCGCCCCCCGCCCCCCCTCCCCCGCCCGCCCACCTCAGCCCCCCTCCCCCACCCGGCCACCGCGCAGGGGCCTAGCCCTTCGTCGGCATCGCCATCGTCTGCGACGACTTCCTCGCCGAGGCGATCGAGGCGGTCGCGGTGCTCAAGGTGCCCGAGGACGATCACGTCGCCGGCGCCACCTTCATGGCGGTCGGGTCGTCGGCGCCCGAGTTCTTCACGGTGATTCGCCCCGCTCGTGATCGAGTCGGACGAGGGCGTCGGCGACATCGTCGCCGCGCCGCCGTCTTCAACTCGATGACCATGTCGATGACCACATCGGCCCCCTCATCCGTGCGCCTTCAAGCTGTCGATATGCCGGAGTCGATGCGCGACAAGTGCAAGTACTTCATGGCCGCCCACGCCGCCGCCTCGCCCTCGCCACCGCCACCCGCCCCTCCGCCGCACACGCCGCCGCCGCCCTCCGCCCTCGCCGCCGTCACCCGCCCCTCCGCCGCCCACGCCACCGCCGCCCTCGCCCTCGCCCTCGCCGCCGCCACCGGCTCCGCCGTCTCCCCCGCCCCCGCCCTCGCCGCCGTCACCGGCCCACCGCCGCCCTCCATCTCGCCGTCTCGTCCGCCGCCACCGCCGCCGCCGTCAACCTCGCCCTCGCCCTCGCCGCCG